TGTGGAATACGAAATAAATATTGAGGTTTTTGGTTGTTGGGCGAGATCTTATATCTAATAATAATAATTTTTACGTGCTACGTGAAATGGTTATATTTTTCCCCGATAACCATCGCTGGAATTAAATTCGATGACTAGTCAAGAGTGTGCTCCTGACGAATTAAACCGCGTACCTTCTTCGTTATACCTCCGCGATTGCATCCGCGAGAGGCATTGAAGGCGTAATGAGCGCACGAGTGGCGAGATCGATTCAATTTCGCATCCGACGTCCTGGCGGGATATCCGTGATAATGAAAGAGGAAGCGCGGCTGATGAAGACGCGATATTAATTTCTATATTGCTTCCGCGCCGCGAGGGGAGAAAGAAATTCTCCGATGAGGAAGGGAGAGAACGAAACGGATAACTCCGACTTTCCTACTGCTCGCGTGCGGATTACGCTGTCTTATTTCGAGACGTCAGCGTCGGTCTCTTGAAACGAGACGCTCTTTCATGCGACCGGCGCTCATCGATTAACCGTCTTACCGGTTTTCCGGATGGTCGTACCCACGTGACGTAACGGTTCAACTACCGAGGGCTCCTGAAGACCGAGTTACTTAATTCTTAATTTATTCGACATTCAAGCTTCTATAAAACGCAGGACACGAGGCAAGTGCGATCGCGTTTATTTTCGCTCTCTTAGTTCTATATTTTTTGTTCTTCTTCTTCTCATGAAGAAGAAGTTCTATATTTTTTATTAATCTTATTTTATTTTATTATTGAACTGTTATGTTATTATGAACATTCTTATATCAATTGTGAACTTACGACACAGAATATTAAATTTATTTTTATACAACATACTTTCTTATATTATTTTTTTCGTTTTATTGGTAAGTTGGTAACTGAAATGACATCGACCGACCGCGATAAGATTATTCAGTAAGTTTTATTTTCTTTGTCGAGTACAAAGTTTCGCTTTCGGAGATATCGTACGATTATTTTTGTTAGAGTTCGATGAATCACGTCCCTGTACGATAGCATTCCGAAGTCACAAATTTCTTTTTTTCACCGTCGTGTCCCAAGAATGATGACCCTGAAATAAACGAGCGAGCTCGCTAGTCCGTGACGCAAATCTAATTTTCGTTGATTGACGTAAAACGAGTGAGCCGTAATAAATCGCGATGGGTCCGTACGATTAAAATGTGGGGGGGGGCCCCGCGCTCAACCATCTGTGACAAATTAGTTTTCGTACAGCGGAAAGACAGCTCGGGATCGTTCGTCCGATGGAAAGCCAATTTTTGCGGGAGCCACGTCGATAGCTGATGCAACCGGTGTCATTTTGCCGGCTCAAAAATGGCTTCTATCACCGAGAAGCCGAGTCGAAGGACGAGCTGAATATAACGAATGGCTGTTCCAGTTGCGAAGTATCGACGTAAAAGACCGCGTTTGTGTCTTAAGAGATAGAACACGTCGCACAGCCGCGTAGAAACAAACGCTTTATACAACCGTAATCAGCGGCACCGTAATACGAGATCGTCGAATGAGTCACTTGACGTGCGCGAGAGTCGCGTCGGTGACGATCCTGGGCCGACCGTCAGAAATTCCGCGGATGCGCCGCTGCGTTTCGGCGAAACCGGGAGCCGGTGTCGCGTCGCGTGTTCCGCGCGCGTATGCTTGCGTGCGTGTACACGCACGTGCGCGCCAATTCCCGTTCCATCCGAACGTGAAACCCCGGCACGCGTGCCGAAGTGCGAGCCGCTAATTCGAACGGAGAAAGGCCTGTCGAGGGCGAGACGAGGAACGGACGAGGATGGACAACAGACGTGAGTCATGCATACGCGCGTCTCTCACCTCCGCACAGTGTCGTCCACCAGGGACGTAGATTGTTTCTTTTTTACGTGTAACCCGATATGTACGACGGTAGTCATCTTCGAGTTTAAACATTTTGATAAATGATTGATGTCGCAACGATATATGCTGACTTATCTTGATTTACAAGAAACTGGAGTAAAACTTTAAGAGAATTTTAATTAGCCGTTGACATTACACAGATAGCGAATGTCGAGTCCTACGGACTTCTAATTTTATTTTATTCTTTTTTATGAAAAAAGAGATAAAAATAATTTATCTATATACATATTGCTTTTCTTATAAAAAAAAAAAGAAAACGTAATTGATCGAAATTATAAAATGAGTGGCAAAAATCCCAAAGACTTTACTTTACAATTAAGGATCAATAATTATATTTAACAGACTTAATTATAATTTTTTTGTAGAACGTACTATGTTATTATAGGTAGTAACATTTTTTGAGATTATATTTACTTATTTCCAAAAATATTAAAAGAAACTGTGTATTATATTCTATATATCTTATTTGTGATGAGATATCTGTGTAAAAAATTCTAACTACGGTGACAACAATGAATATATACTTAAGCTGTTGAAAATCACTCTTGTGCACTCTTGGAGTTTTGATGTCGTGATTAAAAGCCTGATGAATTAACTTCGCGCAAAAGCACGTTCAATAAAACGCGTCGATTCGCCTCATCCGTTTTCGCGCGTTTTTAGGTCATTAAACCGCGACTTATCTCGTCAACCAAGTGATATCTCTCTCGAGTAGGCGTTGTGTGCAATAACAAGAATTGAATGAAACATCGTGCACGAACGACAGATTATTAAAAATAAATGACAGCTCACGATGTATTTCGTCAACTTCTTTTCCTTTGATTTTTATATTCACCATCGAAAGGACGAAGAGCTTTCTATGGAAAATAAATGAAGGTGTGCGAAAGCTTAATATCGGGCTTCTTTCGTGGGTCGCGTGATCGGGATGAATGTGTCTACTATTCACGAAGATTAGGGTCGTGATCCTGATTATGGCCGTCGAGAGGGGAGCGGCGGAGAAGAAAAAGAGGAGACGGACAATACAAAGAAATGAATGAAAATCTCAGAAAATCGGCCGCCCTGATCAAAAGAGTCCTTGAAGCGCACCGAGGAGAAAGGAGGTGGAGTAGGCGGGTTACTATTTTTCGCCACTCTTTCATCCCCTACGGGACGAAAATACACACGGGCGGCGTACAGTTCCAGAGCGGACGCCGCGGCGCCGCTGGAAATAAGACGCGGAAAAGTTCCCGAAAAAAAAAGAAGCAAGACGAGGAGGAGACGGGGGATGCGCGCACGTTGCCGAAACGAGAGACACACTAGTCTCGTGCACTACTTCCGGGCTCCTCTTCTTCGTAACAAACCCTCTTCTCTTTCTCCGTCTCGCTGGTGCTCCGCTTTTGAAAGGAAATTTCCACACGAGGCGTAGCAACTGCTAACAAAGCACCGAGAGAATAATTCCGCGTCCCGTAAAGTTAATCAGCCCGCTGGCAATTTTCTTTTTAACGTCATCTAGTAATGCGGGAGAAAATAATGACGGCGGGATTAAAAAAAAAAAATGTATTAGAAAAGAACTTTTGTGTGGCAAACAATGGATATTCTTTCTGCTAGACTCGAGCACAGAAAAAAGCGATGTTTTCCTGTGAATTTTCAATAATAAAATTACTAACAATAAGATTATTGAACTGAAACTTGTACTATACAACTTATAATTTATTAAATTATGCAGAGTGATGATATTAAAGGTAATTAGAGCCACTAATTTTTAAATGTTTATATAAATGTATAAAAATGAATTAGATAAAAATTGCCACGTATTGGCAATTTATTGAAGTTGCCTCGTTTCGAGGTAGAGATTTCGGCTTTCTAAAATTTTGCATTTACTCCGCTTTTCCCTTTGTCTCTTTTCGTCCGTTTCCCGAGAGATCCGAAGGCGTATCGCTTCGAAATAAAGTAGACCGTCAGCGGTACTCTGTATACCGCATTAATACAGTACGGAATACCTCGAGAGCTCCGTGCGTATCGCAAGTGCGTGCGTGCGTGCGTGCGGCGCGAGTGTGCGTGCATTCTGACCCGATGCGTCGTGTCGGGGCTGCCATCGCGTTCGTTCACTCTTTATAAATAGAAACTTTAAATTCTGTCGCGAGTCGGGCGTGGCAGGACGCGAGAGGAGAGAGATCTACGATGATCCTGGTCACGAAACGCATACATACATCATTCAACGCGATCCGCTCGTTCTTCCCTCTCGTCTCGTGTCCCAGCGCGCCGCCGTTAATTCCCTTTCATCTTGTTATTTCACATAACATTCGCTTTTCTTGCCGAAATACCTCGTTAGTTCGCGAGTATATCAGCGTTTCACTTGTGACTGTCAACTCGCAATTAGTCCGAGGGAACATCGTCTATCTTTTTTTTTCTTTTCTGTTCAGAAATACAGATCTTCAAAAATACATTTTAATTATTTTCCGAAAGAATAAACATCTTTTTTACTATATAAGTGAATTTGACTGATATGTGGGTAATACAATTAAAGTGAAAAATTTATAGATATCACGCAATAATATTATTAGGCACAAAGATTTAGCCCGACTGTATATTCCATCTATTTGTTTTTTTTAACTTTTTAATTACTTTTTGAAATTTTTTATTTTATTTTCCGAAGCCACACCCGCGGTTTAATTATGCTAGACGCTGTACTAATTAAGGAATAAAGTACACACAAGTGTTGAAAATAATTCTTCCATGATTACTTAACTTCAAGATCCGACATTTGGTATTTTATTCGTGAATTCAGCAGGAACCACCTTGATGGCCGGTTCGAATCGAATCCTACGGTCGACTTAGCGTCGAATCGAACGGCTTTGAATCGAACACACGTTTGAAATTTAAGCCGAGCATAAATTCCGAGGAAAGCTCTCTGTTGCGGGTATCGGGGTGTTGCATAAATCAGGCGGGGATTCGCGGAACGAGTAGGTAGTAAAGTTCGCGCGAAGTGCACGATCGGCACACAAGTCGGATATTATTCATTGACCCGCCATGACCCCGACACTGTCATCGTTTCTACCTAGTTATCCCTTTATTATTTCTCGCTCCCGCTATACTTTTTAATTTTGACATATGTTTCTCTCTCTCTCTTACAGATATTCGGCGCGTGTACGAACTACGACTCGACATGCCACACCTTCTGTAAGGTAAGATATGGATCATTTTTTATCATAATCAGCTGACGCAATTCTCCTAATCCTATAGCAGAACTGAGGGAGGCAAAAGAAATGGAAAATGTCTTCTTTAACTATTAATTTTTTATTCGACTTTTACTGCGACTTTCTCGAGATGCATTAACGCATTAAGTTTTTTTTTTAGTAATTTTAATTGTATTAAAATATTTTTTCTATAAATGCTCCATTGTTGTTTCGACACTAATATAGTTTTATACAATATTTCAAAAATTATTCTGCTAGTTACGTGATTTTCTCATTTGAATTTACTATAGTTTGTAGCTTAGAACTTACTTAGCTCTGCTATGAGTGAAAGATACATATCTCTATAAAATCGTACGTTGCCGTAATAACAGCGTCTTCCTGGCGTAGTCATTTGACGGTTTATCGGGCGATCATCGGGCGAGATTTATGGCCAAGCATTTAGCGAAGGCTCGGCAACATTTTTCCAATTACGGGAAACAAAGGTACGCGGCAACTTTTGCAGAAGAGTTCGCATTGTTCTACTCCGAAATGCACGCGAAACGCATCGTGGCATAAGAGCGATGTTATTTCGCATTTCATTGCTTCTATAGATGCCATCGCGATGGGATAGAGAGAAAGAGAGAGAGGTGGATCGATGGTTCGTCGTCGCGGATGGTCGCCCGACTGTAATTGTTCCGGGAAACCGGAAGCGCGTAATTACGCTACGTATCGTATGGAAAATTGTGCGCCGTCGTTCGACGGCTTTTGCATGCATTCCGGGATGCGTGCGCCGCCCAGCTTTTGCAGCAATTCCAGCCGCATCCGTGTTGCACGGACAATTGAAAGTGCGCAAACATTTTCAACGTTTACGAGATAAAAGTAGTTAGTTACTCGTGATTAGCGTCTAGTCAATGTTTGATACGAAGGTGTGGAATTTCGCAACATAGGATAAAAATAACCTGTTCCTTAAAATATACGTGATACGTGAAAGTCAAACATATTCTTTATATCTACACTGAGAAAAAAAATTTCTGCATTTTAGTAAATATTAGTTTGCATACAACTGTGACTCCATTTATTAAAATGAAGAAAATTTTCCTTTTTAGTATATGTATTCACTGACAAAAAAATATACTAATAAAAGGGAAAATTTAATTTTTTTTTAAACCAATATTTACTAAAATGCAGAACATTTTTTTCTCAGTGTACGTAAAAATCAAACCTCTTTATATCTAACGTAAAAGTCAAACATTCCCTTTATATCTCTAAATAAACAAAATATATCTTATCTGTACGTTCTTCTCTCGGCTAAGATTATCGTATCTTTTAAACACAGAAATTCAAAAATTTCATAAATATACAAACTTAAATTTATCCAAGCAACATTCTTATAATATTATATTACTTTTAATTTATGTAATAATTTTGATAACAAAAATTGTCGTGTCACTGATCGACAAATCTCGGCAAGCTCGATCAAACGAGTTAACATTAGAAAAGAAGTTTAATGAGATTGAAAGGTGATTTAACGAGTGTGAAAGGTGGATATGACATATATGTATATAGCATTAGTGGATGTGACATTAGCATTAGTGGGTCTGTATGCTCACTTGTTGCAAAGTTAGCCGACGATCTTTGGAATGAGGCACGTAGATATCCGTTCCAACTCGTTTAACGTATATGAACTTTTCTCAAAAGATCTCTCGGTGGTTCCTTTAGTGAAATTACGCCGGTTGCATTCCCGAGCGCGACATTTGCGAAAACGGGCGCCATAAACGCGCGGTGTTCGATAGTAATTCCGGGTAAGCGCACGTCATTCCAGAAACCGCGTCAAGGCCGTGGCTGCTCCTATATCGATAAAACTATTTCACGAGCAACGAGGCTATCAATTCCCACGATCGACGTATTCCGAATTCGCGATATAACTCGAAATCCAATAGTTTTCACACTACATTTAGCATCGAGCCGGTCAAGCGTAATTTAACTTTTATTTGATACGTTAAACACGGTATTATAAACGAAACTGTAAATAGAAATGTTGATTTTTTTATTATTATCAGGCCAGAATTAAGCATAATTAAATTAGTATAATTATTAAATAGCAAAATTTGCGATTTACGCTTACAGTCTTTAAATAATTAATAATTATGATTAATAATAGAAATAAGCGGAGCGAAAATAATTATCGGTCGTGATTTATTTCATCGTTCCAGTCAGCAATCAGAAAATAATTGCGCTTTTGATTATGATTGATGCAACAAATTAGCGGTACGTTAAAGAGAGATACCAATGCCTTTTTATGCAATCCATACGTTAATCCAAGCTTATACAAATGTGTAAACTCATTAATTAATGTGAAAAATAATTTTCAATTAATTATACCAAAGATAATGAGGAAACACCTAATTACTGAACGACAAACCAATCAATCTCCGCACCATCGAAACCCGTGCGGAGATTTTAGGCTCTTTCGGCTACCATTCTGAATTACTCGAAATTTAAAATGACAAAGAGATGGGCGGAATAAATTCTCCCACGGCTGTTCACGCGCGTATTTTTGACGACATCGCACTTTAACATACCACCGTCGCGTAACTAACGGCGACACGGCGGGCTTAATAAGAACCGGCAGCGCTAATTCTCCGGCGGGCTTCCCCACGTTCTCTCCCGGCGCGGCGCAGCGTGGCGGTGGTGCGGAGCGGAGCCCAGCTCGCCGTCATCCTCGTCAGCTGTGCGAAGGTCAGGGTCGCGCGCACGCCAGCCGAGAGGGTGCAATCGATGCACCGTCCGCTCCGCCGTCGCTCCGCGCATCCCCTCGCCGGATGCAGTTGCCATGGAGACCGTCTCTCCTGACCCCCATTGCCTGGAGGAGAGCGAAGAGCGGCAGGCGGCCCGTTGACGCACGGAGAAGGGACCCGGGGATCGAGTATCAATCCTGTATACGGTCGCGGAGTGGCGCGAGCGAGTGACGAAGGCGCGTTTAATGCATTCCGCGTTTCTTCTCTCGCTCTCCTTCCCTTCTTTGCGATTCGTTAAAGGCGACATTCCGCCGCGAGGAATCTTTTCCGCGTGCCTGCCCCGTGTCCGGAACGCGCCGATCCTCTTTGGGAAAGAGACGCTCGGGAAACTTAATCTCTTTGCGCGCTGTGAAGAATATTCGCGCGTCCCCTCGTGCAATTGTGTCCCCTCGGTGAGAGAGTCTCTGTGAGTTGTTCATTTGGTGCCGCGTCTTATGCGATAATAGACACCCGTGGGCAAATAGTGCGTAATAAAATCACATGAAGCAACGCGAGAAAATATAATATAATTGAAACGTGTATTATAATATTTTAAACCGCTACATATCGATGTCACTTTAAATTTAAATTTAAATAAAATTGATCATAAAATATGCTTAAAATTATCTCAGTTAATCAAATGTTGATTGATACCGTTGTTTAATCAATTCAATCACATGGTAATGATAAATAATTGACTCCTGTAAAATTACATAACAACAATCATTTCACTAACTGCTCTCTGTGACTCGAAATATTCCCTCAAACAATAAGTATGTAAAAAGTTTCCTCCTCAAACATTATTAGAATCAATCGATTTTTTTAATCAATCGTCACAGAAATAAATTATGATCCTCTAATCAAGGCGCATTATTTGCGCCAAATTAAGTTGCGCAAGGTCGTTCCGAGAGAGAGAGACGAAAGTAAGGTCAGCTGATAGAAATCAATATTCCCCGAATCTCGTCCGCGCAACACATAGCCCCTCACGAAGACCACACCTTCGCTTTTAATTCCGTTCCGCGCTTATTAAACGGCCAGGCGTGGAGAAGCAAAGTATTTTAACGTCGCGTTCGACATCACGTCCGGGAATTCGAGGCGGGAAAGATGGACGGCTGGAAGAGTTGGAAAAGGTCGGAGAGCTCGTTTCTCGCGGCATGGTACCAGCGCGTGAGAGAGTCCTACGTCGCAGTTTGGTTCTTCGGGGTGTTTCAGAGCAGCGGAACAATGTCGACGAGCACCGCCCTCGGTGGCGGTGGCGGAGGCGTTGGCGGTGCCCTCAGCCTGATGGGTTGCGTGAGGGAGGCCTCGCCGCCCCCTCAGAACCACCATCAGCACCATCATCATCAGCAGCATCGCACTTTCGGCCTCGGCGAGTTCCCGGCGGCCCAGCACAGCGTCGATCCTCTGCCCAAAGGTCAGCATTTGAATATTCTCTTAGCATACTTTGACAGTTCGTATATCCTTGCGAGATGGACGAGAGAGCGTTCTGAGAATATAATCTTTTAGTAGTTATCAATTCAATTACAGAATATAATGAGCATATCATAATTTTGCAATTTCTTTACGCAAAACTCTAATAATTTTATGTTAATATGTCGATCTTGCGGTTTTACCTCTCTTTTTTAGTTTTGCAAGCAATTACGTGATTATCGGTGTTAATATATGTAATATTTTATTGATTTTCTATGAGGTTACGAGGACATCTGCTTACAATATCATTCATATAACGCATGCATCATTATCGATACTATATTATTCACTAACAATGAGATATACATATGTATTAATTGTTAGAATATTAACAATAGGATAGATTAATATAAGATTTGATGATTACCGAGCGCATTTTCCAACTATTCGTTGCATTATTTAAATAGAATGAATTTCCCTGGGAATTGTTCTCTGTCAAATTTTAGATGATAGTAGAAATTAGATAGTAGATACACAGGTACAACGCTGGCGGCGACGGTCTAGACACGCCGTCGGAAAAACTGTATTTTCTCCTCCGAGAATCGGATTCTCGGGGTCGCGTTCGTTCGGGATACGCGAATTCCTTAGACGCGTATTACTCCGAGGCAAGTCGCGAGTAAACGAGGCGTATGATGAAACATATGGATTTCGTCGAACGCCACGTTTGCGCGAAATGTCGATTTCCTATTAAAAAAAAAAACCACGACGCATTGCGACAATTCAATAACAGAATTATTCTCTTAATTCAGCAGTTATTCGTATTTTTTTACGGATGTAGTTCGATCATTTTTACATTTAATAAAAATGAAAATAATAATTACTTTTTATATATTTAAAAAAAATAATTGAAATATGATTGATTGACATTTTTTTTTATTTATCTTTTTCTTGCCTGAAGTTCAGAATGATTTTTCTTTGGAAGAGATAAATTATTAATTTTGACTCAACGGTTCTCCCAGGTTTACGCCCAAGTTAGCATCGCGTTACGGTATCGTCCGTAATCCGCAAGGCTGTACAAATGCGAGAACGTCCTCCTCGCATCTCGGGCAAGGATGGCGAATCGAGGTCGTCGTTAGCGGTAGTAAGAAGCGCGTACGTTTAATTAGGAGCGGACAGAGATTAAAACGACAATTATGATTACGGTAGGCGGCGAGCTGTGATTTCTTTTTTTCTTCTTTCCTCGTTTTGCGTTACGGTACGCCGTGACTATTGTTCGGAGTAGCCGCGTTATGTGTCATTATGGATGAGTTTCCGGGTCGGAACAACGACCCCCCCCCCACCCCCCGCCATTGGATTAAGTCCCGGCAAATTGCAGAGCTCGGCGACCGCGGGGGCAAATTAACTTGGGAGTTAATTTTTTTTAGACTCGAGGGCATAATTAGCGGGGAAACTTTGTGATTTCTCGGTTAGTTGACATTTGTCATTGCCCTGACCGAAATTTTTTCGTGATTAATACATTAACTTTCGAGAGAACCTAAATGTTAACCTTTCTCGTACAAAATTTAATTTATCTGTCTTGTATTAAATTTCAGTTTAAACTCTAATTGAGAAAAGTCCTCGAATATTAATAAAACAATATACTCTGCACCGAATAACCGAGATATATTTCATAGAGTTGCTTTTAATCTCGACCGAAATGAGATTTTATAAAACTGTCTATATATAATGTTATAATTTTCCACAGCTTTTTTTATACGACTTTATTATTTTTCATAATTTTATCGTATCGCGTTTGCATTAACACATTTGACTTTTGCAATATAATTTACACCTCAGATAATCTTGCCTTTGAAGATCCGTCGGTTTTTTCTATTTGAAGAATTTCCGTGGTTGCGGTGCATTATTATTCTTCGATATCGTACAAACAGATATTCTCGTTACGTGCGATAGACAGCCGTGAGCGAGCGACTGAGGCGTAGCATTATTTTTCGCGCTTCAACGACGCCGGAGCCGTCGTTGAAGCGTGTAAAGTGCGCTCAGAGAGTGTCAAGTACACAGTAAAGATCACTCCCGATCAAGCGTGCATTCCTCTCCCCTTGTCTCGTTAAGGCCGCGTGGGTCGGTATTTGATCGCTGAACGATACGTATAAGCACGGCGGTAGATCGACTTTAAGCTCAGCATCGCGCGGCGTCGAGATGAGATTGTGGTAGATCGACTTTAAGCGCGACGTCATCACGCCGCGTCGAAATTGGGTATGCAACAACGAATCAGGATATGCATTGGCTTTAAATATTGCTTATATTGAATATCGATTCTGCATTGTTGTTACGGAATACGTAAAATTAAATGTGTGGCCAGAATGGGAGAATTATTCGAAGGCCACTATCGTATATATTTATTACAAAAGAGATTTGCGTTCTTATACATTAAAATAGACATAGTATAGACTTTATTTAGGTCATTTGTATTTTGCTGTCGTCGTAATTTTGTTGGAACCTTGTTTTTCGTATATCGATAATTTCGAGAAGTTTTTTTTATTTCTTCTCATTTGTTTACTCTTCTAACATTAATATAGGTTACGCTTATTTAGTTTTACTAGTTTTATTTTTGTTACTTTTGTTACAATTATTTTACTATTTCGATTCATCGCGAAGTGCGACGTAAATGTATGTGATGGCTGCCTTAAGTTTTTATTTTCCGGTCTGCCATCTCGTCGAGATTGCCCATCTACCTGCCTGCTAAAAGTCTGAAATCTCGTCTTTATGCATTAACGTCGAAGGCATCATGAGGTTTCCTCGAGAAACATCGATAGATGCGTCACGTCGAGCGATAAAGTTGAAGTGCTCGTGAGTGACAGGGACAGAGACAGGTCGGAAAAGAGGGGGCAGGAAGAGGTTAAAGGCCATTAGAGAGAGAGATCGAGTACCGGCACTACATTAGGCTCGTACCTTATAAGGAGAAGCTCTCCCGGCTCACGATATATCGAACCGATATAGAATTATCGAGGGGCCGAGCTTGTAATCTTATCATGTCACAACCGTCGCCGTGTATTTTGCGTATTTATCCGTGAAATCAGTCAGGTGTATATGTGCAATAGGTGTAAACGGAATTCTATACGCGAATTCTAGTTCTAGGATCCATGTAGGATGCCTCCTCTCGACTCGCTCGTAGATTTCCTCGGTAAATATCGCCCGACCATCGTGCATCTCGCAAAGATCTCAAAATTGTTATTTTCAGTGATAATAACACAAATGTGTGGCACGCATTTCGCTAAATATTTAGAATTTAATTAATGAATATTAGAAGTTATATTTGTATAATCGTATGTTGTCACTTGGTTCGTAATATATTTCTACTTTTTAATTATTGTAGTGTTATCTCAACCTCTTCTGAGATGAATTTTTAATAGTTAGAAAGAAGTGAAGATTTAATTTTTTATTTAATTATATTTTGCTTAATTTAAATTCATAGGAATTAAAGAGAAAATAATGAAAAAAAGTTGAAAATACTGTGGTGAATATTGTTCGTTTTGTCAAGAATGTTAGAATTAAAAAAGGACTGATTGTGTTCATATATGTATATAAGTGTTCTTGAAGAGAATTTAACCGAACACTTCGCATGCCTCTCGCTTGCAGAACCAAAGAAGCGCCGTTTTCATCCTCTGCGCGGTCTCCGGAAGATCTTCCGGCGAAAGAGTCGCGGTGCCGCCGATGCACGGTCCGTCTCCAATTCTGCCGATCGGGATGCCGAATTGGCGCGCCTCCCACGGGAGGAGATCACGATGAGGCATCCTGCGGGACGCCCCGAGGAAGCCCGTAGCAGGAGCGCCAGCGAGCTCCTCACCGACTCCTGCGATCGGGAAAGGTAAGGAAACATCTCTCTATATTTTATTATCAATCTCGGAAATAATTTTTTTTTTAAAGTGTACTTAAAATAATGAATACAAAAATCGGCAATCTAAAAGATCGATTTTACGCGTATATAAGAATCTATCTATATTTTATATATATTCACTGATATTATTATTTTTTAAAAATAATTTTCGAAAAATTTAAAAATAAATGCGGCTCGTAATCGTTTCTATATCTTAGAAATTACTATCTAAAATTGATTATATAAAGTTAATTGATACAATGATAGCTTGGGTTTACGCAAGATATGTAATATCTTGAATTTTTAAAAAATTGCTTCCTTGTAAGATAAAGATTACTTCAAGTACACGCGAAATATTTATGCAGATCTTTCTTAGCAGATTTGCGATATCAGAGCATTGTAGTATTCATCGATTTGTTAATGTTTGCAACAATACCATGTTAAATCTTTTCAGTGGACGACTGCACGTCCGATCGTCAAAAAGATGCAAATTCATCGCGTCTTTCAAGACTCGCGGATCGTTTAAACAGTAAATATCACGAAATTTATCTCGGCGCCAGTAGGTCACTGAGTTATATGGCAGTCGCTTTACTTACGGAGAACCTAATTATCATCTCCGAAAACAATTTCCTAACGGCAAACGTAGATAATAGCGCTATAGTCATGTTACCAAAATATCAACTATTGATAACTAGCTATTTCCTGTAATGTCTAACGAAAGAATTAAAAATAGAAGAGCCGTGGAGTAACACTGACCTTGTTCAAATATGAAAATCTAAATCTACATTTTAAAGTAGTTTTATCACAAGAGCTTATAGACTTGATTAAAATGTAGGTAACCGCCAATTACTGTTGTTGTTTCTAACAAAAGTTCTCTCTTGAATTCCTATTTATAATTCAATTTTATCTTTAGCTTTATTTTACCTTTCAACTCTGATAGTTTTTGTCTAAAAATAACACTACTAGTAGCAAAAAGAGAGATCTCTTCTTTTTTTTAAACGGATGTAAAATGCTTTTATAGCCTTTTTGAAGCGCGAATCGAACCGCGAGCGTGTTCGGCTCGTTATCAATTTACGATCCTTGGCCTCGTTTTCTCGTTCAGCTTTTATTTTTGTCCTCGTAGTACCTCGTAGTAGCTGCTTACCTCGTAGTAGCACGAAACTTGAGGGCGTTTTGCGTGCTCTGCATGATTTACGTGGGTCGATATATGCATCGTCGTATTGTATAACGGCGACGCGGTTTGCTTTCGTTCGAGCGATAGCGCACATTACAGAAAGGCCGCATAATTATCTGTCGTTGTTGACGTGTGTCATTCCTGGCAGATAACTCATCGCCTTATAATTACGAGTATTAATAGCATCGAGTAAATTTTACGTTAAACGATATGCGCATATACTTTTTCTCTTTGCAATGAATATAGGATTATAGAACGACAATTTTATCACAGAAGGAGAGGATAACATTTTTTTGAATATTATAGATTATTATTTTATTTTATTTAATTACTTATTTACGCGATATATTTTCTTGCACAGTTGTATATATTTTTGGACACACGTACTTACATGAGTTTTGTTTCCTTTCAATTTGAATAATTCGATTTAATAATGTGACACGAAATTTCTATTTTTAAATGAAATGCCATCAGGGAAGTTCGAGATAAGAGGATCTCTTGTAACATACTTTATTGAACGCGTCGTTGTCTCTCTGCCCTTTTAGCGTATTCCTCCGACGAGGCGGGGTGGAGGATAGTTTCGTCAAGTTACGAGGAGGCGCCGGCAAATTGTCAGTGTCCCACGATAGCGTTTTCCCGGGAGAAGTTCCTCACACTCGGCCTCTCTCCTCGCTGGCCAGCCTGGCGACGCTCGAGGTCAGTATTTATTCTCGTATTCAGATGTCACAGATGTTCTGTAAAACGTTCGAACTGCTTTTAACGTATTTCTCAGGGGACTGGTCACGAAGGACCGGTAGATTATTTAAGTCCAAGCTAAGACACATCGCTAAAGAAATATTGAAGATAAGATTTCCCAAACTTGCATAAAATTATGAAGAAAGAAAGAAATGTTTATTTTTTTTTTAATTTTTAAGAAAACTTGGGTATGCTAAGAACTGGTAGATTATTTAAGTCCAAGTCTTGAGACACATGGAAATCTGCTAAAGAAATATTGAAGATAAAATTTTCCAAACTTGCACAAAATTTAAAGAAAAAGAAACGTTTATTTTTTTTTAATTTCTAAGTAAATATGCGGTATGTTAATAGTTCGCTCGTTTATTTTATAATCGCTATATAAAAGATAAAGTATTGAAGCGTTAGTAAAATCAATATTTAGTGGCATTATTTTCTGTGCGTTTGAAAGATTGATGCAACATTCACGCAATTATTCGCTAGGCGGACGCTCGTAAAGTTTTCCTTTCCACCGGCCGGTGAAACTCCCGGCGACATTCGAATTATCCGTAAGAGCCGTTATAATCGTGACGCAAGTATACGTACGGTCGTGTGTGTAGTTTACATATCCGCGAATTATATACGCGAGTGCGTTGGGGATTCGCGAGTCGTGTGCTCGCCACTGCGTGAAGCGTGAACGGCTGCAAAAACGGCCGATGCTTCACGTCTCATCTCGCGGTCATCGGGAGATCCGCCGAGGTATTCTAAGCACGCGCGAATCGAGCCTATACGCGATTACACATGTCCGCGATCGGCTCGTGACTTGTCTTCCAATCTTTGCGGCGCGCGGCGCGGCGAAGAATCGCGGCGCACTCGCACTCGCACTCGCACTCGCGTTACTCCGGGTAAACCGATCACCGTTACCGGTATAGGTAACGTTGCATAAATGACGATGCGCCGCGAGCGTAATTAACGAACAAGGCTGCTAATTAACCGGCGCGGCGGGCGGCCGATGTTCTGTATTTCCTCGAACAAATGCGCGACTTACTTTTTCTTTCTCTCGTCGCACACCGTTACTCTTTCGTTATTCTTCCTTTCGCGCGACCGTAGATCGTTATCTCCGTCTTTTTCGTCGCTTCCGTCCATTTTACTGCCACTCTAGCACGTATCGTTTATGACGAAAGTAATAACAGTTATTTTAAGGAGCGAATTTTTAAAGTTAAAATAGTAATTTAATGATTTGTTTTTAATTATATTTTATCCATTGCATTCAATTTAAATCCATGGCGATTAAATAAAGAAGAAAAGAATGAAAAAAATTGAAAACACTGGTGAATTATTGTTCATTGTTTTTTGTCAGCAATATTAAAATCTAAAAAAATAAATATGTATATATACGCCAGTATTCCTAAAAAGATTATCATTTATCAATATTACGTTCATTGCAGTATTCGAAAATAGCACAGTAATATTAGTAGCGATATATTATTGTGATAAGAATTATTTAATTAATCGACCTACAGCTCGCGACGAATATTAATTCGATTAAAACAAGCAATAATTTACAAATAATAATTTACAAAGCGCACTCCATATCGAAATATATATGCCAATAAATTATATTTTATGCTTCGATTAGAATAAGAGGTATAATTATACTTTATCTATATATTTTTATTAATAGTAGGCGATATGCATTAATTCGATTTTCTGGGAACGTAATATTTGTAAAGATAGAATTTTTTCATTTCTCGCTTTCGCAAACTTATATATTCCGGCAAATTATATCGTGCATCTCGATTAGAACGGCGATAATGATAGCCCGAGCGCGTCTCCCGCGACGGCCGCAATTATCACGAATTGATAATTATTTGATGGTTCATGTCAGAATGCCACGCGATATGTGGGACGATCCTTTCCATCCTTTCTATTTTCGAGAGAAAAATGAGAAGCGCGTTCCGTCCTGATACTTGAGGAAAGTCGCGAATAGTTTTCACGTTCGTGGAAAACCCAAAACCCCGCGAGGGACTCGAAGGTTTCACTTTGCGTGAACGCTTCTTCGTCTCTGTTTTCCAGCGGAGGCCGGCCAGGAAGAGTAACGAGATCATCGAGCACAAGGAGTACAATCATCATCACGTCGCACAAAGGCACCGGATATCCCTTCGGGTAATTCGCGGAAGCTTTTAACATACTTTTAAGGCTCGTAAATCGACGCGTTATACAAGTCGAGGCCGGCACTTTTAGCGATAAACATTTCGCGCGAAACGCGCGCAATAATCTTTATCGCCGTATTTCTCTGTGTCGGAAATATATTTTTCCCCCCTTTTTCGCGACGTTAAAATGTCGCCTTCTATACGCCTGACGCACATAATGACGAAGATAAAATTCGCGTTCTGCAATACGGCGAGAATATTTTGCTTTCAAGTGTAAATTAATGAGTGAAAAAAAAGATGAAAAGTATAAGAAGCCCGTCCTCTCGAAAAATAAGATTTCTGCGTCAGATAAAGTTTCTGCAAATGACACAGCACCGCAACACACCGCGCGCATATATAATTATTGACCGCCACCTTATCGTTCGTTCGTAGGTACTCGAGCAAATAAAAACGGTCATAGAGAACCGGAACCAACTGGCCTCGGCGACCTCGCCGGATACGGCCAGTATAGCGCACGTAAGTATTTTGGCGAACGAATTAATTCGTCCAGATCTCGAAAGGGCAAACGACAACTTTCGGTCAGTCGATCTCCCGAAACGCGACTGTGTGATTATCCGGTCCGCAAACCTTTCACTTAAATAAAAAAAATTTTTTCTGCAGTGTTTGCATTTAATAAATTCCATAGGTGGTTTATTAAAAAATTAAATATTTATTGTGTATACTAAATTACAAAATTGGTCGTCTTATCAATTGTTACGCAACGTGGTCCGCGCTGTTGCCTTACTTGCAGCCGAATGCCTTATTCGTCGTAATTAAATTTTGCACCGTAAAATTTAGTGAGTTAAAGTTAATTTACATTTTTCAATTCGAGTTAATTTTTTCACTTTTGCGCACGAGCGGCGCGAAATTTTTTCAAGACGCGCGTGCGGGGCCGAAGGAAAGCTGGGCCGCTCTTCTTTTAATAAAGACAGAAAGCCAGGCAGAGCGATAGGCTCCTCTCCGCGCCGCGGCTAATTACCGGCGCGTTTCACCCATTTTTTTCCTAATACGTTACATACACGCGGCGCGCATACACAAGTGACGTCACGTTTCGCTTTTGCGTTTCAGGCTGCCGGCGAGCGGTATCAGCAGGAAACCACCGAGGTGAGATAAAGTGCGCGACGAGCGTTACTTTTTACTCTCGCGGCGTATTGGCGTCCGCGCGCGCTGTGTCGGCCGCAGTTTCGATCCGCGACGCGGCCGTCCGGTATCGCTCGCCGATAGCGCGACTATATAAGACGGTGGCAAACCGATCGCGGTAGCCTCGACCAATTTTTTTTTTTTTTTCATGTCGCTGTCTCGCGTGTTCCGCGCCGCGCGTCTCTCATCTCCGCGATCCTTCGATTTATTTTTTCGTGAGATGACATAACGGCGATCTGTCGAAATCGCGCGCGACAGAGTGTACACGTGTACAAGTGTGTTAAGTGCGCGATCTGCCTACGAAAATGAGCAACGATGCGGCACGCCGGAAACCTGTGCGACGGATGCTCAATAGAGTCCTGCTCGTGTCCTCAATCGTGTCAGCCTTCAGGGCTAGAATCGGGGTAAGAGGAGGGAGGAGAGGACAGAGGAGGAATCTCCTCGTCTCCTCTCATTACTCCGAGTTAATGTAAACTTTCTCCGTCGGCCGCTCGGGGAAAAAAAAAGAACGCGATCTCGCCGAGGTGACAGCCTGTCATCGACTTTCCTTCCTTACGTCACACTCGCGCTCGGCCTGTCTCTCTCCGGCTAGATACATGTACATATTTGAGTATTCGTAATCCGCGAACGTTATCTCGCCGGAAGACTCGCGTCGAGACCGCTCGTCGGGATCGAATATTTCGCGTATTGTGCTCTAGAATCGTCTCGTAATCGAATTAATCGGGTCGTTTTCCATTTTTAGAATCGCTTCACCGTGTTCGAGAGACATGGGGAGAGGAGCGGCGCGGAGGAGAGCCAGCAGGCGAAGGTGAGTGCACGATCTGAAGAATATATCATTCATATATACGGTGTATACATGCATTCTACCGGTTTCGCCACTCGTCCCGGCACCACCGCGTGCTGAGAAAGAGAAAAGCGTATCCTTCCTCCTCCCCGAAATACCGCGCTAATCAGACACTGCCGTAAATCAACCGGCGAATTTCTGCAACAGGTGGCGAATGGCGAATCCGATAGAGAGAGGGAGCGAGAGAGACAGAGGAGCCCGTTAAAATCTCGTCTCTCTCGCTATTAGATAACCCCTTTGTATGCGCGCTGCCAACGAATCGCGCGTAACGTGGGAACGATCGCGTTTGTTGACTACGAGATATGAGTCCGTTGTACCGCCGTCGTGCCGCATTATCGTCGTCATCCTCGCGTGCGGGTGACACCGGTACACCGGGCTTTGTAACGGGAACCTCCGACGAGGTCGTCGCACGACCGAAAAAGCTATAACGCCCGCGGTGCGTCTCGGCACCTTTGTTCCATCCACCTGAAACGTATCCGGGTTAGCCTGACCCTCCCCCCCCTGTCATAAAGCACGTCGTCAAAAAGCAACGCGATGGTCGGTGCACCGTGTATATTTATCGTAATTCTCGGAACGTCGAAAATGTGGCCTGCATGCCGTAATCTGTCGCGAGGGGACAAAGATGTGGATGCACCAGCGAAAAATTGCCAACAGGAAGTTCTTTGTGGCCTGCATGCCGCGGATGTTGCTGATATTTCGCGTTCATTGTTCAGCAAGACGAACGATAAAACCTGTATTCGTTATACTACGTTGAAAGTTCTTCTCTTAATATTCTCTAACTTATTATTTTTTTGAGATAAATTCGACGTAGCGATTTGCGCTAATCCTTCGCATTGTTTTCTAAACGTTTGGCGCGTCTAATTACGGTCAATAAACCATAATTTTAAAAACTTAGTAATATAAAAAATGATCATTATCTTAGGCAATATTAATAACGTTAAAATTGTAACAGAATAGGTAATGTTGGCACGTTTAATGAAGTTAACATGGTCATTAATGCTCTTGCATTAGTATTAGTATATGAACCTGTTATTGTTATTAATATTTAATATTAGTAATAATCAACTAATTAATTTCGATATTTTAATAATGGTGTTAATGGTTTATTACTATTTCATCGTTACTATATATTTCATCGCATAATTCTCTCCGAGGCGATGCTCTATTTTTCAATGTGGGAGAAAAAAAAGCTGATTTATTTATATTCGACGAGTGGAAAATGATAAAACGGGCTGAATAGGGGATGGGGTAGGAGAAGAGTTATTCCGGGGATCTCCGGGTTTGTCACCGCGCGCCTAAACAAGAGATATTTTTGGATCGTGACACATTTATGGAACTTTCGACGCGAAAGCAAGCGTCCCGCGAAATAGTAAAGACAATGAAGACGGGAGGAGGTGGAGAAGGAAGGAGAACGCGAAGCCAAACACAGAGGGAACGCGTTCCGTGTCCCTTTTACGGCGTTCTCCCCGTTGTTTTCCAACTTCTCTTGCCCGCCCGCTACCATTATTTCCTCCGTCCGCACGGTGATGAATCCCCGTCCGCGGCTATTATTGCCGGCTCTTCGTGATGGACGACGACGCCGTTTAAAACAATATCCTCGGCTCGATACGGGCCGAGTGGCGCTCTCCGCAAAATTCTCGGTTCTTTGTCGCTGCCACTGACTCAGTTTTCAGAGCTATTAAAATACGCGTTTGCGTTATATTGCAGCCTCGTAGCTACAATGGCGCATTGTCGTCGCTGAAAAGTCGATGGGCTTTACGTTTGAAATGAAAGGGAAACTGATTGCAGTGGCCAATTAAATTGTTATCAAAGCGTCACTATTTATAGCCACTATGTAGGTATTTATGAATCCGACGAGTTGAGCAACAGTTTTAAGCGCGAAGTCTTTTAAAAGCACAACGATTAAGATATTTAACGAATATCTTAACGAATATCTTAACAAATATCTTAACAAATATTTTAATGAATATCTTAACGAATATCTTAACGAATAGCATCGCCCAAGATTTTCAGATTGGACACGAAATAAACCAGGGTAACGTCGCCACTATATTTTTTCGACATCGGGACTTGAAAAAGCTGAGGTTCGAATTAAAATCTTAATTAAATCTCGAGTCGAGACTCGAACAGATTTGACGAGCCGAAGGATCGGTAACGTTTTCTTGCACACATGTCTTCCACGTTAGCTCGCGCAATGACGCAAAAGTTAGAGATACGTGGCATTAGTCACAGGATGCGGGGGGAGGAGAGGTGGGCAAACGACGTTTCGATAGCGAGTATAGAAACAAGCAGAAGCGCGAGAGACGGCACGTAATAACGGGGGGCACGATACGAAGTTTACTGTTACTTGGCCCGTGGCCTGGCAGCGGCGCATGGATCAACACGCCGAGCGTTTCAATGCCCCTCGCTCGCTGGCTTGCTTTCATCGTCGGACCGACAGGCGATTGGGACGATATACAATAAATTGTATCCCCCCTGAAAAAAATACCGCTGCGCGGACAGCGAATCCATCAATAGCATAAATTTCATCGACCCATTGATCGTTTATCAATTCGAAGTCGATCCTTCTTGGTAAATCATATACACGAGTTATCATCTCTATCATATAATTTAATTTCTATAATGAAAATAATTATTTGGCAAATATCAGCAGATATTATTGCTCGTAGGAGTAAATTTTAATAGACATAGAATAGATACTTAATTTTTATTTTTTATCTTTTTTGAGGTGAAGGGGGGTAATTGCAAACAATTGACCTTTATTAAATGCTAATAATTTTCCGAAAAATCGTTCGTGATTTTTGAAAGATCATTGCATCTCGTTTGTTTACATTGCACGTTGTTGAACAATAATCGCCATTATTTACCGTTTAATTGCCACTGTCGGCAGACAGTTCATTGTCAATAAGGAGGTGCAGCGTCTGAAACATGCGTCGGTAAAACGACTCAGAATAGCATTATCATTGTAGCGTGCAAATAGAGATGGCGGCACTTGTACGTTTAAATCGCCGCGAAACACAACAGATACAGCATCGTGCTGCAAGAGAGCACTAGCTCACCTTCCATCGCGATTTGCGGCTAATCGCCATTTTGACGCAATAAAATCTTCTTTGGAACGTCATCAATCATAAACCTTTTTGCAAACAATTGACTTACCTCGAAAAATTTTGGCAAAATTATCTTTTTGAATCATTCCTCGCAACTATCGAAATAAAATAATAATGAAAAAAAAAAAAAAAAAGCAAACAGAAGAAATATATTACAACTCTTTCGATGGATCTATGTACCGAACTGATGTTTATAAGAAAAAAGCTTAAACAATTTTAAGAACAATTTTGTTTGCATTAATTCGATTTTTTGCATTAATTATCGATAATCCTTTCTTCACGTTAATGATAATAACAGCAACCTATATTTAACCATCGGACCTTTGATTATAATTAATCAAAGGTCCGATAATTTCCTTGATATACGTACGCGTCTTTCTTTCTGCTTCTCCCTATTTGTTAGGCGCAATTTTTAAGAATAAGCGTCTAAATCGACTTTCTAGGAATTACATAAAGCGTCGTAATGTTCGCGACGATGTCCCGCGAACGCACTCGAGCGAGTAAACGCTTGTGCAAGTGGAAAACGGACTGACCGGCCTTTTTAATGTTTTTTTCTTTCTGTTTTCTGCCGTCAATCGATGATCGACGATTACGCGATGCCGCTCTATCGTTATATTTCCTCTTTATTTCGCGACCGCTATCATATAGATTTATGTCTCCATCAAGGCGCCCTCCGTCATTCCTCGATTCGACGTTTTCGCGATTTTTCTCATGATTCACGACTTCCGGAATATGCTATTAAAATATTGTACCGCAACCCCGAGACCGTTTCATTTTATTTTTGCAACGCTCGACTCGTAATGGCTGAAATCTTTTGTGAACACGTGCCACAAAGGACGCTCCGTTATCGCGTTATAAAAAGTTACCGAGCGACTTCCAAACGCATTTCATTATCACTTGAATAACATTCATGTAAATTTCTTTTTTTTTCTCGAGACGTGTCGCGGATTCCGTCGACACGTCGAGTGCCGAAGTTCGTTGACTCGATGCGTGCAGGTTACCTCGATCCTTTTCCCCGAAGAGAGACTCGAAGATGCCGAATAAACAGACGCGAGGCACGCGTTTAGAAATTTCAATTTTGTATACCAAATTCTAATTTTATATATTGTGAGATGTAAAATGTAAAATATATAAAATTGACAGAAACGGTTTAGCTTCTTTCGATACACCTGATGGCAATCTATGTCGAAAAAGCTAAACTATTTTTGTGAATTATTTACTGGTGAAGAAAAGCTTCTATTTCTGTTTCATATATTAAACACGGATATTAAGTCACCCTTGAACACTCGTTGACACAGTTTGGAAGATTATATATGCGCGTGCAATAATATATATTAATATTATATTATTTTTCACATTTCTCTCTTGACGAGATGTCTAAGAGCATAAATAAATAATTGGGCACTCTTTCCCACAAAGAGTGCTAAGATACAGGCTAACGAAGGCTTAGCTAGACGCGAACACTGTCGCGCCATTCTAAATCCCTTCTGGCAACGATCGAGCAGTGAAGGATCGTTAATCGAATGCGATGAATCATTTCGTCCGGGAGATTTGCAGCTACCTACTAAGTGTCATTTATCTCATTTCGCGGAATGGAAACGTCGTGAACCATGTTCGCCAAAAATTAGACGTCACCGTGTTTTCATGCCTGCTGTTTCATGCATATTACGGGAACGGTTTTCGGATAATCGATGGGAGATTTATAAGGGTCACGCGGCCTCTAATCGCGCGGCTTTTACGGCTTGACATTTCAGTCGCGATGCGAATCCACCGGACTGTCGGCGTAAGCCAGTTTGGTATTTGCCTGGCATTTGTTGCATCGCGCGATCTGCCTTCGCGTCGTCACGGCATGCATGCATTCCGGCAAGGCCGAGGAATCCTCACAAGTCCTTACGGAGGACTAAATTCCGTAAGGCATTTATCGCTTCTTATATATATATTACTTTATCCCGG